GAACAGTATACCCATGTAGGATACACTGTCATCCTAACTATACATTGTACCAAGTTCTGGCATTAATGAGCTGAGTTCTATTGCTGTCTTCTTTTTGCAGAGCTGGGACTGAAGTTCAGAATTATTCAGAACTGGCTAAGGATATATTAGTTGGTAGCAATGTGGAAAAATGTCATAAAATTAGTCATCTTGAGTATGTGTGTGGGTGTTCTTATTCGACCAGAAAAATAAAATTGCCTTAAACCAAAAACTATGCTGCTCACCCTTCCTTCAGGTGGAGAAAAGAAACCAGTTCGGTGAGTTTTGTTTTATGCAGCTGTAACTGTAATTCAAGCTTTACCAATGGTCACTCGTGATATGTTTTCCTTATACTTTTAGCCCTGCCCCCAATTTTTAAATGGAGAATTTAAAACTGAATGCTGTATTAAGACAAATATAACTGTAGAGTGAAAAATATGTTTGTCACTGATAGCAGCTATCCTTGTGACGTTTCCTCTGAAATTAGATCATGCACTCACTCGTGCGTTCCCCGGGCTCTGAGCGGTCAGTCCTGGGCTGGAGCGCTGGTGATGTAACCTTGGGCAGATCGCTTTACTCTCTCCGCCTCTGTTTTTGCTAACTTTAAAACAAGGGTGGTTATGGTACATGACCTACTGGGTGGTTGCGGGGAGACACTGATAAACCTGTACAGAGCACTCGGTCCCTTGCCTGTTACGAGAGCTAGAAAAACACTAGTGTCAGTGATTCCGGGAGAACTGAAAGAATTCAGGAAGAGAGATGTACTATTTCTGCGGGTGTTCTGACCCCTGCGGGGGTGACACCAATCAAATCCCAAGGGAGAGCCTGTCCCCTGATGCGCATGATTGTTTGGAGAATCTGGCTTTTGTTACCTCCATGAGAAGGGAGGACACTGAGAACACTATTTGGTTCTCATATGACAAGGACCAAGTGGCCACGGGGGGACTGCTGGGTCTGGGCTGAGCTGGGGGCTAGGGGAGGCTGGACGAGGAGGGGCGAGGCCAGGTGTCGGGAGCTGCACAGGGCACTCAGTTCTCAGGACAGAAGATCTGGGACATGTGCCTGTGGTCCTCGGGCCAGCTTGCTTGGGTCCTAAACATGACGCCATCTGTGGGACTTCTGCGCTACAACAGGCATGTTAAGTCCACGGGCACCTCCAAGCCTGTGCGACATGAGGCTATATCATTTTACAGATGAGGAAGGGGAGGCAGTGGGCGTGTCATGCTACTGTGTTTCCCTGAAAATAACGCTGGGTCTCATGCTAACTTTTTTTTTTTTTTTTTTTTTTTTTTGAGACAGGATCTCTCTGTGCAGTTCAGGCTGGCCTTGAGCTCACTTTGTAGTTCAGGCTGGTCTCAAACGTGCACCAATCCTCCTGCCTCAGCCTCCCCAGTGGTGGGATTACAGGCGTGAGCCACCAAGCCCAGCGTAATTTTTGTTCCAAAAGATGCAATAGGGTTTAATTTTTCATGATCAACAATCTGTATTTATTCAAATGTAAAAATCTACATTTATCCAAAAACAGTCGCGTCATCCTCTGGAACACTGCCATCACTCTCCAAGCCGTGCATTAGGGCCTGAATGCTTCTGACTCCGTTTCCTATAGAACCATTGGTCCCAGTCGCTTGTGTCGAGCAACAGAACTCTGCATAAATGAGCACATCATGTGCATGCAGCCTGCCCACAGTGCAGTGGCATCTCAGCTGTCAGTGACTTTATGCCATGGGGCCCTCACACAAACCAAAACCATGCCTCCTGTAAGCCGGGCTTCAGAGTTTCCATGAACTCAAATGTTCACTGAAGATTTTCAAGACAGAAGCATCAACAAGAATGATGACAGTCAGAATGATGGTCAACATGAAAGTGACAAACATTAGCAGGCGCCAAAATCCATAAAATGTTTATTTCACACGGTTACACTGAGTATTTCTGTTGCAGCACGCTGGTTGGTGAGAGTTCACTTTAGACATAGCCGTGTCTGTTCATTATCAAGCACACACATTATTTGTGCCTTGTGTCTGTATCCGATTGGTCGCTCAGCATAGACTCGAGTTCATCTGTTTATGCAGGCATTTACCTCTCATCCAAAGGCGCTTGGGTATTTGCAACACCTAATTATAATTTATGTTATTTAAAATAAGTATTAAGCAATCATATTTACTTATATATTAATATCTTTTTTATCATTCAATATGTTTGTTGTGTGTTGCAGTGGATTCATAGTGCTAAATGTGTCCATCTGGCTGACAATCTTTTTTGTGTGTGTGTCGTTTTCCTTTTTATCAGTACCAGGGATCGAACTCATGACTGCCTGCTTGCAAGGCAGGTGCTTATGCCGCTGAGCTAACTCCCCAGCCCCCTGGCTGACAATCTTAACAGGGGATTATTTTGGGGTGGAGCTTATATTGCACGCTTTCTGAAAAATCACACTAGGGCTTATTTTGCAGCTAGGGCTTATTTTCAGGAAAATATGATGCTGCGCCCCGTGTCACCCACTACTGGGATAAATAGAGGCAGAGTGTGAATCATTCTTCGTCTACCCACAGATCTACTTTTCCCAGCATTCCCACACTTTGCTTCAGTTTCATGTGACTTTTTGTGGCATTTCCATAGCTTAGTGCCCAGCATGTGACTGTCTTAGAAATGCTTATGAGTTTTAACTCATCCTCACTATGAGGGGAGCTGACATCCACTGAGTTCCTGCTCCGAGTAGGCACGTGAGCTGATTGTGTCACCTGCTCAAATTTTTGTAACCCTACAGCTCATGGCAGAGCCAGGCAGGAATCTGGTCGGATCACACCAAGGCGCACAGCCTTAACTCCCGTTTGTTTTGAGGGCTAGGCTGGGGGCAGGCTGCTAGGCTTTGAGCGTATCTTTCTTGACTGGTGCGTGTGGCTTTTGCATGATAGAGGCTTGAGCACACCCTGGGAAGGGTGAGGCAGGAAGATGCAGGCTGTGGCAGTTATTTATGGGCTCTGTGATCTCCGTCTGCCTGCACAAAGTTATACTAACCCTCACGATCCACCAGCCGGACTTCCCCTTGCTCTAGGCCGCAGACCCTGTGCTTTCCTACCTGTGGGCGCCCTGGCCCTGCCAGGCTCTGTGCCACACCTACTCAGGGGCACCCATTACAGCCACCCCTCCCCGTGGGCTGGCATGGAAGCCTTTTCTTTTCTGAATCTGAACCAAGTCATGTATTCTGTACCCAGAGAAAGGCACATGAAAGACTATATACTGTTGAGAAAATTTCCCCAGGGTCACTTGGGGGCACCAACCTTACCATCTGGAGGTGCAGCGCCTGGCAGCCTGCTGGGGCCTACGCCGCTCTGCCATGCCCAGTCTTCTCCCGGAAGTGCTTGCAAAGTGGCTTGATCTCCCTCATAGACTGCAGGGGACTTGGCAGAACCTGGTGTCACACAGCTTAGGTCAGAACACTGGTGACTTTGGGGAAGTCGCTGCCTAAAGTCAGACCTCTGCTCTTTCAGCTGTGAAAGGGCACTACACCTCCATCAGGGCGCTGTTTCTCCCTTAACCTCCGCGGGGCTGGCACAGGAGGCCTGACCCTGACTTGCTGCACACCAGTGTGTGCAGAACCGGGCTTTGCATTCCTGCTCTGCCCTCCCCGGAGCTGCCACTGTGTTTGTCAAATCACTTCAGCTTCTGCCAGCTTGCACGATTTGCTCCTGCAGCTCTTTCCAAGCCTTCCCTCCCAGGCCTCTTGCCTTGCACAATTTGGGAGGACACCATTCCTGATGTGTTTTGCCCTGGGGTTGCTTTCAGGAAGAGCCTCCGGGGTGATGGCCGTGATGTGATGCAGAGGCTCTGGAGCCGCAGAAAGACAGGAACGGGCGGTGTTCTGATGGCCTGTGCCTAGGCAGGTGCTGGACCCAGACCCAGAGAGCTCATTCATGGATGAAGAAGCAGAGGGTGAGGGTGTTGGCGGTTCACGCCAGCCTCACTAGCTGCAGCCGCCCTGTGCCTGTTTGCAAACTGCTTTTCCAGTCGCTTTGGGAAACCACATATCTGGTCTGCATTGTCCATCTATCAAGGAAGCTCGAGAAACATTAAGGTCCTTCCCTACATGGATCACGCCCTCCGCTAGACTCCGGGTGAAGCAACACACTGTCATCTAGCCGTTGATTTAAATCAAATCGTGAATTAAATTGCACCGTGCAAAGAACAGGAGGCTCTCCGGTTTCTGGAAGAAAAACTCCTAACTCGCTTGCAAGTAGCTAGAGCCTGCAGGACGCCCTCGGGCCTTCCCAGCCCGGTCTTTCTCCTGCCTCCCTTTTGTGAGTCTCTTCCCCTTTCTGCTCGCAGGGAGCTCGCTCTCCTGTAGGCTACAATGTGTCAGTTGTTATAAAATCCTGGGGGCGGGGTCTGGTGACGACGGCGCCGAGGGAGCTGCCAGCCTTGCAGGGCGAGCAGTCGGCCCTGAGTTCACCCGGGCTTCGGCACCGAGCAGGAAAACTTCCGTCTCCCTGTCCGGCTTTGATCCTCCCTGGACGGCAGAGCCGAGGCGCGGAAGCCAGGGAAGATGCGAGATGAGCGGCGCTTTGGCGACCTGACGACCAGAGCCTTCAGAGCGAGCTGGGCGCTGGCTGCACCACCCAGAGGCACCGTGTGTGCGCCAGTGAGCCAGCGGGTGTGGGAGCGCGAGCGAGTGTGTGTGTGTGTGGATGGTGTGTGCACATCACGACCGTGTGTGAGTGTGCCCGAATGAGTGTGTGCATACGTGTGTGAGTGTGTGTGCACGACTGCGTGTGTATGTGTGTGTTGTGTGTGTGTGTGTGCACGCACGCTTGGTTATATTTTGAGGGAGAAGAAAAATCTTGGAAATCTTGGACAGGTTACCGGGTCCTAGGGTGATTATTTTGCTACAAGAGCTGACCCAAGCGAGCTTTCAGAGCCATTTCTGCCTGGGTAAAGAGATTTTCCTCCCAGAAGGAGAAGGATTTTTACCCGGCTCTGCAGCCCAGTAAGAAATCAGCCCCGAAACCTGGGAAATCGACCAGAGCCTGCAGTTCCCAGGGCTTGAGACGGACTGGGGAAGAAAAGGAGAAATTAATCACACAGTGCATCTGTTCCTTTGACCACACTGGAAGATGTCATCTCAAACAAAGTTCAAGAAAGACAAAGAGATCATCGCCGAATATGAAGCCCAAATAAAAGGTGAGTAGCTGCTGGCTGTTCCTTCTCCCGCCCTTCCCCTTTCTCTTGCTCTGGCCTTTTTTCCTTTTTCCTCTTTCCTCCCTGCCATCATGAAACGTTGTTATGCATCAATAATCTTATTGTGAGAGGAGCTGTGGCAGCCACACAAGCCCAGGCTGGTCTCAGCCACAGACAGCCCTGGGCTGAGCGTGGGGCAGAGAAAGGGCAGCGGGCTCTGCATTGCAGGTGTGTGAGGAGGATCCTGCGCCTGACTTTGGGAGTGTCGCGGCTACTTCATCATCTCAGCGGCGAGTCCTCGAAGGCCGTTTAGGCTGCATTGCCTCCTCCCCTTGCCTGCCATGGTCAAAGCACCTGCGTACGGATGTGTGCTTTTTACAGGCTGCTGCCTGCCCACCCTTGGTTTCTGGTTGTTGTTGGTTTTGCAAGGGCCTCTTGCTCTGAGCAGGAATTCACATGCGTGTGTTCTGGGAGGCGGCATCCTTGGGCGGCCCTCTTTGTCGGTGTTTCTCGCCTGGCCTGGGTTGCCATGGATTAACTGTTATGGTGCATATTGATCCAGACTAATGCAGGCATTTAGGCGGCAGGAGAGCGTGCAGTGCAGAGAACGTATTATCTCGCTGCGTGCGGCCCCATCATTCCATGCACCAGTGTTCAGGGTCAGCAGCTTTGGTTCCAAATCAGCATCTCAGTGTGCAGTCCAGGCTGTGGGTGCTGCCTGAGGGAGGCCTGTCGGGGGAGTGAGATGACCTCTGGCCACTTGTTCCAGTTCTGCGGCCACCAAGCACACATTTCCTTCTGAAGCTGCTCCCTGAAGGCATGTGGGCAGGGAGAAATAGGTGCACACCTGCACAGTGGAAGGCGGGTAGGCAAAATCTGCATTTAACCTAGACAAGGGCTTTCCATGTCCTCCCTCATTCCAGGCTCCACTTCAAGGGCAGCCTCCAATCCCTGTGCGCGCCCATCTCAGTGGCTCTGCCCCTGGGAGAAGCTGGCGCATGGCTTGAAGGATCCATTTTCTGGTCATGGTTCTCCTCGCTGTGACATGGGATATGTTGTGGTTTCTCTACAGAGTAAAGACACCATGCATCTTCAGTGGACATGGAGGCCTGGCTGTCAGCTGAGCTTGGAACTGTTGAGAGGGTTGGTTATGTGGGTGCAAGAGACCTGAGATTGCCATACCTGGTTCAGTGAAGTCGTGATCCGGGAAGTTGGGTGGCCTTTCTGGGAGGGAATGGAATGAGGCGTCTGTCCTCATTCCTGCTGTCCAAGCCTCAGGCCTGGGAGAACTTGGGGAAGACAGCAGTCGCTGGGGAGGCTTTGTTTTTGCCTCTATCTTGCCAAATCTTTTTTCTTTTAGTTCTAATCGAACCTGGCAGCTAATCACCTCTGGGTAGACTTCAGGAAAAAGACCAGAAAAACTTCCTCTTCTTGGGTCACATTCTCCTTAGGTTTCAGTTCAATGTCAAAAACAGGGACTAGGAATGTTTTAGCCTTGCTGAGATTTTAGAAACAAGTCCTTTGGTGGTGAGAGATTTAAATCCTCAGCTGCTCAATTCAGAAGCTTAGTTACAGTTTTTGAATATATAATTTTTTAGGGAGTCTGTGTTTTATAAGATCAATCTAGCTGCTCTTGATATGTTTGGAATTGGGGTTCTCATGAAATACACCATAGTGGAGAAAGGATATTGAGTTTTGGACAGTTGGGGTATTGTAAGTATCGTTTGGTAAGAAATGTGCTTAATTCATTTGTTAAAGAATTGCTACCACCCGAGGACCAGTTAAACATTACTTGCTCTAGCTGGTTCTTTTCTGTTTTAATTTTTTAACATTTATTTTAACAACTAATTGGCAAATACCCTGTAGTGAATTTCATCAGGAAATTTGTCTAAATTTATTTTTGTTGTGGTTGAAGGGATTTAATTTATTCCTTTGGAGCTGGTACACACAAGATTTAGGTCAGGATAGTGCTGTGCCTGAAACTCTCTGAGATCTTTGCTTTCAGAGCCTGTTTGTTGAGCTGGGGTGTAGCTCAGGGAGAGAATCCTTGCCTGCCTTGTGCAGAACCTCAGCTTCCATCGTCAGCACTGCAGACAGCAAACAGTCTGTTTGCTGGTCATCTTGGGAGCCACGGGTGTGTGCGCGGGGACACAGGGCCCGGTGTTCTCGGTTCACTCAAGGTGCGGAAAGCCTGGTGCACTCAGCTCCCGAGCTGGAGGACGCGGCCCACCTGCCCTCAGTGCCCTGCTGCAGGTCTCAAGGCCGCAGCCTGGTGCATTGTTTGCCGATGCTGACCCTGGAAGATGAATGTCCCTGGCAGATGGCAGAACAGAGCTGGGGCTGCTGCCTCTCCCTGGTGCCTATTGTTTACCCTTGAGTTCCCATCCCGTTGCCTTCATTTCTTGTCCCAGTGACTGACAGTGATGCCCAATGCCAGGTACCTTTTCTCTGACGTCTTCTGGCCAGTGGGGTGTGAAGAGTCCACTCAGATAGTTTTTGTATACTGTGCATTTTGTGAGGGGGATTTCTGGGTTTTAAAAGTAATGTGGAGTTTTGCGTTGACTTATTCCTTTTTATCCTTTGAAGTATTTACTGCTCTGACAAAAGACTGTTTTAAAACAGTATCTTTCCTACTGTCAACATTTTAGACTTGTGCCTTTGCTTACCTCATCAGGTATGTGAATCTGTTTGGTTACTTACCAGCGATGCAGTAGTAAACCACGTTTGCATGCTCGCAATGGCAGGGAACTCAGTCTCCCAAGCCCACGCATTCTATCTTTGAATAGCTTGGGCTCATGGTTTTCCTTTATTCCTTTATTCCTAGTGTTGCATGTACACATCTCTCATCTGCCTATATGCTGTATAGTTTCTTCCCCACAGAACTTAGTACAACACAGCCACTGCTTCCTCATGACCACTCGCTGGGCTTTGGGAGCCTGCTCTTGCCCCAGGAAGATTAACCTCCGTGGTTATGTAAGCTGGTTCACTATCCCTCATCGTCCTCGTTGTCTTCCGGATCTGCTGCAGTTTGGGCTGCAAATTCAACCTCTTTGGTCACCTGCCAGGTAGAATAAATGGATGGAGGCCAGCGACACAAGGGGTAGGCAATGGACACCACCTCACTAAGGCGGTGACGACTGTGGTGGACCTGATAGCACATGTTCTCCTAAAGGGACAAGGAGACTCATACGTGGGTTCAGTCAGTTCTTGCCACTTTAGGAATATAAGCCCAGCCAGACCTTTCAGTTGTGCAACAGATGTCAGAAATCCGATGGGAGCTTTTTGTGTTTTTAAAAAAATTTTACAACAACCACCACCCACCGAAAGATCTACTAATATCTTATTCCAAGAGTGGCACCAAGTTCTAAAATGTGGTCAAAGAAAGAAAGTGTCACTTCCATCGTGTTGTCTGTAACGCTCCACTAATGTGTCCCCAGGGTTGAGTTTGCCCTTTTTGCTGATCATCACATGGTGTCTATTTGCTGCATTTAGATAGACAGCAGGTGAAGGGAGTGACTGCTACATAACAGAAAAAAAAAAAAAAAAAAGCAAAAAACCTGCTAGGTTGGGAGTCTCAGCAGAGAAGGAGAGCAAGTGAATTTGTTCTTGGTGACCCGTATGGCTTCCTGTCTAAGTGTCGGCCGTGTGCCCATAGAAATGTGTCCACGATTCTTGTCTGCGAGCAGCACCGTGTTCTGCAGTGGGAGCTGGCAGCTGTGACTTCTCTCCCTGTAAGGATCACAACAGCATTCGCTGGTCTCCTGCTTTTGGCCCCTCTCCTAGTCTCCACAATTCTGTCAAAGATCCCTGGAGGTGATGGTGGTCTTAATTGTAGACATTTTCAGTATCGTGGGCTTTAATTTATCTCGGTGCCAGACACAGGGGTCTGTTCTCATTTATCTGGGTTCTTATTTCCATTTCAACCTATGGAAAACTGAAACAAATACACCGATTGACTTCAGTGTTTTTAAAACTTGTACATCCATATTCATTTTAGATCATCTTTTCAAAAGCAAAGTTTGCATTTAGCAGAAGAAGAGCCGGTATCGAAGGTGATTGCAGAGGTGATAGGTTTAGTCATTCACCACACATTATCTACTTTATAGCCGAGCATTGTGAGAGAATCAAGCATTGGACAGCTTCTTCCCTTTCTAAGACTTTCCTTGAATCTGGTAATAAAATAAGAGGCAGAAGTAAAGAGCCAAAACTCAGAGCACTTCTGGACATCAGAGTGAGCTTAGTTTCAGAGGGCTTGAATTTCCATAGACTTTGATTTTTTTTATTTTTTTGGTACCAGGGATTGAACTCATGACCTTGCGCTTGCCAGGCAGGTGCTTATGCCATTGAGCTAAATCCCTGGCCCTCCTACAGAGTCTCACAGCAGAAGCAGGCGGGGTCAGGGACACCGTGGGGAGCAGCAAGGACTGTGACTAACTGGGCTGGTCATCACAGGGGCACCTGCTTCTCAGGTCCAGCCTGTCATGACCAGGTAGAATGTGAGCCCAGAATGGTTGATTCTTTGGTGTTTTAAGGGAATCTGAATTTTAAACAAAATTTCCTGATCTTTCAGTGGTGGGTCAAATTTTAAGAACTCTTCTGCTGCCCAAACAAACATGCCAACAGAGTGGGGGTGATTCCATGCCAGCTGACCTCCTGATCTGCAGCTTTGGGCCACGAGTGGCCGGTGATGGTGTCCCCATGACTCTCAGGTAGCTACCTGATCTTTCTTCTGTGCATGTCCATAGAGACACTCATCTATCTTAATAAAGGAACTGATTCCCTCACGAGAGTCCTGCCTTCAGGATCTGGCCTCACCTAGTCACCTCCCAGCACCTCAGCTCCAAATACCATGTCAGTGGTGGGTTGGGGGCTTCAGCGTATGCATTGTGGGGAGATACAACCACTCAACATCCACACATACCTTTTATTGAAGGGGAAATTTCCCATGGTTTGCTGGATTTCCTTGTCTCTGGCAGAGAAGCTGTTTCTAGTGGAGAATCAGT